GCAACAGTTTTCACTGTTGCACGGATGGACAGGTCCGTCCGGGTAATAACCACGACCTCAGAGAAGACCGGCGTAAAGTAGAAGTGTTACACTTCTCGTTTCTTTCGGTGAGTGAGGCAGCCGGGGCCAACTTTATTTAAAGGTGGCAACACATTTGCAACCCCTATGAAAATGCCTATGGGCGGCGGTTACTGCTTAACATCAGGTGAACCGCCAGCTCGTTTGCCACTTATTCACATAAAAAAGTGACCCACAGATGATTGTTGCGGATGTGGATTTTTATTCCCAGGGAGGGTTGAAATCAGGTAGGCCGCTGATCGTAAAATACCCTAGCCACCATCAACAACATGATTGACATGTTGTGCCGACCCCACTTTACGTGGGATAAGGCCAGAAGAAAGAAGAAAAACAATACGACATTTCGATTCAGAATCATCAGCATATGAAACATGATGAGTGTGGTCCTGAAGTTGACAGTTGGAACTATTAGTGTTTTTCTGGAAAAGGATGCATTTATTTTAACAATAACTTTATGTAATAATTTCTTGTATTTACGCGATTACACATTATAAATGAAACTAATTTTACGGGTTTATCGCGTTTATTTTTAATTTTAGTCCCCGACGTTTCGAACCTGTCCCGTGACCATGAACGCTGTATAGGGTAAAATTAGTTTCATTTATAATAACTTTATGAATGTATATTGTGTATGCATTAAAATGAAACTACTATTATACATTCCACTGACAAGATTTTTTTCAATTGTAAAAAGACGAAGTCCGAAGGGGGATCCCAATAAAGCCGTCAAGACATTTGGGTTCCACGAAGCACTCATATATTATTCAATTCACGCTAAAGACTCGTGAACGGTAAAGTTTTCACATTCAATAAGCATTTGAAGGTTAATAAAATTTCTTAGAACAAACCCGGCAACGTTTCAGAGTTAATTTCTTAAGTTCTACTCACTTAATTTGTAAAGTTAGCCTATTACTTTATTGTTACCTCAATTTTTAAAGAAATAAACGGGAAATTAAAAATAAAACTGGTAAACAATAAAGTGTTCGTGTCATACCGCATGGTTTGGCGTTTTAATTGCTATCACTTGTTTGTTATCGTTATGGGGTATTTAAATTTAAGTCACCTAGCTGTATATTTGAATTTAAATTCATAAAAGAGTTTGGATGACCAAACGATTCAGGGTTAGGGGAAGTGGGAACGAAATCTACGGACTATACGAGTGGTAGCTAGAAGCACCACCACACACATCTCAATAGTACGGCTACAGGCATTTACTTGTAATAGGGCAGTCTCCAATCCACGAGACTGTATATATAATCTAGGATCTGATGGAGAATCCCATGGCCAATCCTAGGTTCTAATGGTCTTGTACCATGTTCATAGTTTACCTTCATGTTAATTATTCACCGCAGCCAGTCACGGCTCACCTCATGTGAAAGCACGGCTCGTGGAACAAGCACCTGCTGTGACAGGGGAAGCCTCGTCTCGAGCAGTCTTCCCATTAACAGCTATGCTGGAGAAACTTGTTCATCAGTAATCAGTGTAATATGGAAATTTAGTTACCCTAATAGCCATTCAGTTACATCTTCACTCGCTTTAATAAATACATCTTTGATAGTCTATACCTACATAAAGTTCTGCACGCCCATTTGAACATGGATACAATGTTGAACTTGTAACATGTTGTTTTACCAATGCACGAAGATATTAATTGAATGAAGACGAGAAACAAACAAACAAGATCTCCATTATCACTAATTGAGCGCGATATTGCCGGCCTCGTGCATGGCCGCCGGTTGTTGGATCGCTGAGCAAATAGACGTTGCCGCAGTACCTTTTGGGATTTATCCTTCGTTTTCCATTATTACAAACTACTAATTCCGTATTACACAACAATTAATGGACACACCTGACACAATGTAATAATCCAAGGTGTAATAAACGAAACGCACTCGATAACGTGCGTTATGTGTTACAACACTATCCAACACGTTTAATGCCATGTACAATAATTTATTTATACCAACAACAATTACCAGAATTAGTTAAATTAAGCCTGTTGAAATGAACACCAAGAAACTCTATGATTGACTTAATATCGTCTATTTTCATTTTCAATAAAAATGAATTAACGGTGTTAGTAAAAAATAAATACCCGCCAGGTATTCCTCAATTGCACAGTAGAAATAATTTCCACACATCTTAGTTCTCTACAAATTGTTTAACAGGAAAATAGACATTTCAAATAAAGGTTTACTTCGTTAATTTTAAGAAGTTTTATTAACTTTTTTCCATAAGAACCTAGAAAATAATAATTTTTAACGTCGATTCGCTGACATAAGTCTAGTTTTCAACTTCAAAGGTGAAATGAATCTTGAAGTTACTTAGCTGCTCGGGTTATTAAACTCTAAGAAAACTGAGTAAGAGAGAACGTAAATTACATTTATTATCTATTTTGTAGTACAAGTTAAAAAAATATCTTTTACCGATTTATCGTGTTTACTCCTTACATCATCATCCGGCATCTTTCCAGCCTGTTAAAGTCTACTCCTGAACATAGGCCTCATCCACAGACTGCCTCGAAGCTCGATCCTGAGCCACCTGCATTCATCGATTTATCGCACCTTTGCACAGGTCGTCACTCCATATAGCCTGGCCACTCGAGAAACTTTCGTTGCTTATCGGTTCTACGAGCTATATGGCTGGCCATATAGCCATTTTACGCAATCCTTTGTGGAAGTTCATTCTTGTGAAAAAGATTCGATTCTTAAGGGAAAATACCCATTTTTTGTGAAAGGTGGCATTCGAGAAGGCGCTCCACATGATGATAATATGTTCACCGCCGCCGATGGACAATCACAATACCAGAGAAGTTACAAATGCATTGCCGGTCCTTGATGTAAAAATAGGCTCTCTTCTTGAAGGTTCCTAAGGTTCCATTCCATTATTGTCCATGTCCATATGTCCCAGTCCAGAATTATATTTATCAATATAAATTAAACATAAGGTGGCCATAAAGTTTAAAACTATATTTTTCAAATTATTTGTTATTTTAAGTTAATATACCGCTATTGTTTGGTCATTCCTTAGCTTTAGGAAATCTTTCCTGAGGTTTTTAATTTTATTTTTTTTTATCCACTGGTATGGCAGCTCTTTAAAACCTTTTCCGTTTCGAAAACTGATTAACATTATACATACATATCATATTACTGTGTACTAACGGGGTAAACAGAGTTATAAGTTTTGAAGTTAAGTTTGTACCTGCCAAAACATTTCACCACAGCAAAGACTGGCAAAGCGCTATGGAATAGTGAAGAAAGAGGACAAAATAATTCGTTCGGATAATTAAAATAAAAACAAAGTATACGTAGGAAATGAATGAAGATACCGCCCTCAGAACGCAATTTTTCTTGGTTTTACGGTTTTAAATACAATGTGAATAATAGGCGGAGAGATTTGTTTTCAAAATATCATAACGTACTTTTTCGATGTTATCTCTATGAACAAATCATTCACAACGTGATTTCTGTGCAATTATTATACATACGTTTGAAAAATACAGATTTTTGTGCAGAATTCAATCTAGGTTAAAGGAGTCGATAATATAACCGGCTCGCGGCTGGTTTTTCGATTCCCAATAGTTTCAATACTTGATTGATAGAGATTATTTTCAATTTCATTTTCCCGCATCACAGCCTATGCAGTGGATAAACGTTTATCCGATTTGATCGCATAGATTAAAAGGATTTGATATGTGTGGTTTTCATGATAAACTAACAGATATATTTTTTTAAATTTTTGCCTTATTTTTGTTTCAAAACTAAATTTTATTTAGGTTTTACGTTTCTAGGTTTTGTATTTATTTTTTAGGTAACAACAAGAGATACAAGAATAAATTTGAAAAATATTCATTCAAGAAAAATATAAATTTAATTTTTTTTGTAATCTCGATTTTGTGGATTTAATTTTTGAGATGTAGTGTTGGTGTCTTTGGACGTGTTCTTAATGTCTACCCGGACCCCATACAACAGACATGATCCTTTTGCCGTTTTTATGGATAATGGTACGAAATCCTTCGTTCTTGTTCCTTAATTTACTATTACGCTAACTAATTTAAGGTCAACCAATATTTATTTAAGAAAAGTGATTTTCATTTAAATATAACATTATTCGTTTGGTTTTATTGGATGCCGGTAAACTACTTAAAAAAAACTCATAACTGAAACAACTTTTCTAATGAGACGGTAAAAATAAACTATAATTTTATAAATAGGCTTCTAGCGTAGTTTTCACAAATCACCTGAGGCCTTCAATTTAGTTCTCTTTACGCACCTATGATTATTTGTCTCTGTCACACTTACTGTGGTAGAGCCACCCAACAGTTTCGGCTGTTGCACGAATGGACAGGTCCGTCCGGGTTAGTACCACGACCTCATAACAAAAAAAAATATTTCGAATATATGTGAAGACCGTCAATCCGCAGCGGGGTCGCGTTGTGGACTGTGCCCTGATACTCTCTGTACATAAAAGGCCTTTGCCTAGGAGTGGGATATTTATAGGCTGTTAAACTCTTTTCATTTGTCATTCTGATAATTAAGAAGATCATTCTGATCAATTTAGAGAGTTTAAAAGTCCTTTTGGCAACTCAAATAACAATTCTACTATGATTAATATTTCAGAAACCGGGCGTTAGTGTATAATGTAATTACAGTTAGTGTTACATCTAGATGGCGACTATATAGTCTTTGAAAAATAAAGCATTACGTTAGATTTATACCGACTTATTTTAATGAATCCTAACACAGTTAATCCCTGACAATCGCCTCTAATATATAACTACAGTTTTTTTATAAGATAAAGGACACGATGCGTCCAACAAGTGAGCGACGAACGCTAAAATGAGTTTAGGAATCAGTTTTGCTTCTAAGCAGTTCTTGTCGCACGTTTCATATGAACAGCACTAATTCGTACATTTTCGGCTACTTGGGCTTCCTTATAAGTTCCGGACTTAATCGCTCCGCTTTAAAATTCTCCATGATCCACATTTGCCGCGGCTCCGCTTCACTGCACGTCTCCATGACGATCTTATCCTTGTTGTGCGATATCGTCATGCACTTGTCACTCCAGCCGTGCTTCAATAGCTTCGTCTGCAAGCATTAACAATTCATTGAAGTATCAAACACAGGGTGGTAATAGAATTTGTAGAAAAAATGGACAATAAGTTAAACGGCTGATTGGCACACCACAACGGTAATCAATTTTGCATAGCGTTTTTAGGCTTCCTTATGAGTCCAACCGGTCAAATGTGAGTCGAACTTGTACGCCGACGGTTCCGTACCTACCCATTATACCACCATAATAAAATTGGTAAAAAATAACCACCGATTTTCTCAGGAACGAGTGGTCCTAGCAAGTTGAAATTTACGCTACTATTAGAAGTTTGAAATGCAAAGTCAACGCGATAAAAAGATACGGGCAAATTTGTTGGTTTATTGTTTAAACAAAGAATTTTTTTCAAATTTATTCTCTAAAATATCAGCTTCGTCCGTGGGTTCCCTAACACATCTAGGGACCTACTTATTGGGGAGGGATCTAAGCCGGTGAGGCCAGTAGTCCCGGCACGCTGCTCGAGGGGAAGGCGTGGTAGACCAAGGCGCTTAACACTCTCTGGAGATGGAGGTGATTGCTGATGGCTCGCAATTGACACTTATGTCAGCCACATCAGAAGATACTCGTAAGAGGAAGGCTAAGGCTCCGCGTATTAAGGCTGTGGCTACTAAGTATAAGGCAGTGGCAGCCTCTGGTAACGGTGACTGAAGGGGAAGAGCTAGCCACTGAGTTTGACACGGAAGAGGATCTCGTCAATCTCTCCGGGTTATTATCGAGATCCGGGTCAGTAATTGAGGATCATATTGACCATCAAATTCCAGACCATCGAGTAAGTAGCGGACCAACAGAAATTTGAAGGGAAGCTTCACCCGGGGAGTAAGGTTAGCCATGCGGCAACTCCAACTCAAAGCAGCAGCCAGCGAGCTTGCTAGGAGGTCAGCGGCCGACATTATCGTAAGGCTAGAGAAGGAAAACGCTGAATTGCGTTCGGCGCTCTTAAGCCATGCAGACTTTACTAACGTGCCTGGAAAGTCAACGTAAGTTACAAAGCACTCTCGGGAACAGATTGACCTAATGGAGCACAATGGGATGCTGATCGAAACTAAGCTCGTGGAATCCAAACCAGTTTATTTCTCAATAAAGCCACACTATAGCCCAATAAGCCCACCATTGGGAGCAAAGATTGTAAGAAGTCCTATTAACAATGTAACAAGTCGCTGTCAACGCGATACCGTAAACAGTGTCGGCTCCGTCGCAGCTAAAAATTAAAAAAACCAAAACTGCGAAAGAAGAAGCCCATCTTTCTACCGGTGATCGATTTGCTACCTACAGATGCGCAATTACTACAAGTATCTACGCCTGCAATGATAAGCTCGTAGGCAGAGGTGGCAAAAAGCTAAAAGAAAAAAAAAGGAAAGGCCCCCCACCGAGCAGCAAGGAAAGATTAGGCAGCTGAAAGTTATTCGTGCCCCAATATCTGCAGCTGCATCATCATGTTAGTAGAGAGTGCCACAAGTACTGCTAAGGTAATGGAGGTCGCCAAAAGTTTCAACTACAACATTTTGGTATTAAAGCAGTACGACAAAAGCGTTCTGTGATAAAGGGAATCTTAACAGAAATCTGTGGTCTTGAAGTGGTCCCCAAAAGTGACAAAGTGGCGACCAAACTACGAGAGGTCCTCTCAGAATTTAATGTCCGTGTGAATCATCCGATTAAAACGGAGGACCTTCGGTTGAGGGATCTCGATGACCCTGTGGCTCCAGAGCTGGCGGCAGCGGTTGCGGAAGGTTGATCAGTAAATGACGTGAAAGTTGCGCAAGTCCACCGATCTCTAACCAGCATGGGAACGTGTTGGATACGTTGCGCAATAACGGGTATCCATAAAGTAGAGGATGTTGGGCGCGTGGACAAAGGGTGGATTTCCTGGAACCCAAGCCTTTGTTCTGCTACACGTGCCTGGAGAAGGGTCACGTTGGCAGCTAGTGCCCAAACGATGCCGATCGCAGTGAACGTTGCTACGCCTGTAGAGAGCCACGAGCCACTGATGAGGTAAGAAATGCTTCGTACCACCAAAAAAATGGTGGTGTAAAATAAGCAATCATCTTATGTTCCCACTGGCAAGACAAGCACAGTGGCTGGAGTAGTAGAACCGAGTTCAAGCTTGGCTCAGAAAATCACAGGGCTTAGATGCTTTAGTGATTATCTGTGGAAGATTGTACGTGACGCATCGGCAATTTGCTTCCACCACGGTCGGAGCATAGAAGATACTGCAACGAATACCTTGGTGGTTTGCCCCGCCCGGGATGCGGAGCGGAGTGTCTTGGTGGGCCACATTGTGCGAAACTTTAATCTGCCAGCAGGTGTGCGAGCGATGATGAGAGGAGTGAAACTGTGGTTGTCCAGAAAGAGGCTACTAAGCGAGATCGAGAGAGACAGACTCGGAGACTGGGCCAGCGACGCTTCTATGCGCCTCGTCACGGCCCTCCTAACGGAAATGGTGCTCCCCTACCGAAAGCCCCGCCTCAGGGGTCATGACTGATTGAGACGAAGCCATTAATTGCCCAAATAAAGCCCTAGCTTTTTGTAGTCAGCCGCGGGGTCAGCGTTATACTGTCCCTAAACGGGGCTATCATATTCAAGCTAAAGAGGGGCTGCGGTGGTGTTCCGAATTGAGATCTCGTGATCCTTCAACAGAGCAGATGGCGACAACCGTGCGGATCGGTTGTAACTCCGTCGTAACTTGGTTCTTCTCTAACTGAGGAGCCAGGTCCCTACGTTACAAAAAGGTATGAAACCCTCGGAGCATGAGTTCGACTCGCACTTGACCGGTTTTTATTCAAGGTACAACAAAATAAACCTAATTTGAATAAGTTCAATTTTGATTGCACTCGATTGCACATTGCTGTGATAAATTACTTGTTGGAATTTAATACAATATATAATAGAATACATTGCAAACACAAATTATAAAGTTCTACATAATTTATTGAAAAACAGTTTTAAAAGATCGAAGTTTCCGACAATAGTTTACAACGAACCTAACGAGTGTAAGCATGAATATGTTATGATATGATGAAGAATTATGGGTATATTATAAGTACAACTTCATTAATGTTATTCGTTATATGACTTTGAAAACATAGAGATTCTTTATCATAGATCTTATAGCTACAGTGTATCAACACACGTACGTTATGGTCGTAGAGCCACAGTTGGTTGCCCTTCGCCCCGTGACAAGGATACAGGACCACGTCGTGACCCGAGTAGTCAAGGCATGTCTCGTCACGACGTATTTCGCCATTCTTCGAATACATCCAATACTGGAAGATTATATTAGTATATTAAAACAAATGTCTCTTTTCTAAGATCAGTTCACCGAAGTCAGAGGTACTTGAGGTTATGGTGATTATATTATTGACATTACCGACTTACAGAAAATTAAATGCAATTTATTCAGTCATAGTTGACATTTTAGTTGAGGAAAACTCAAACGATTTTATTATAACATATTCATTTAATTATTATAGTAGATTGTTAATATAATAAGGTGTTGCTATATTCCCTTCCCCAAATAAAAAAAAATTAAGCCCGTTTTAGAATTCATAAAACAAAGGAAAATATTACCCTTAAACGATAGGTTAATACACTATTATAAGTTAGATTGCCTTATGTGTACCTTTTGCCTTATGTGCTCATGAGAAAAAATAGTTTATTATAGATCAAAGAATAATTATTTTTTTATCTTTCTTCAAAATATACCCGTCGTTTAAAGCTAAGTTTCATTAAAATTTAATACATCATGATTAGTCATAAATTAAAAATAGATGTTAACACTTATAAATAATCCTAACGGCAGTACCAATGTTTAAGAACTGAAGTGTTTTCATTACAGTGCGAGTGTTTATAAAATCCTTCTTCATTATTCACATATTTAAAAAAAAGTATATCTACATAAAACAATTCAACTACTCGGCAATTTATGATGCACACAACTAGTTTTACCTTACGTTGTTAAAGCGTAATAAAAATAAAAAACGGCGTGATACGGTTAAGTTAAAGCGAGAAAATGAAAATTTTAAAGCTTTGCTATCTATATCAAAATGCAATACTTGTTAGTGCTCTATTACTGCAAAATTTAAATATCCAACTCTCCCTAAACTTACTGAAGTGTATAAGCACCAACATACTAACTACGGATGAAGCGAAAGCACTAACTGGTTCGCCACTCGCGGAACCAACGCCACCAAAAGCGGCCGGGGGCAACCCCCTGGACTCGCTAAGTCAACTCTTCCGAACCGTCAACATGGCGGAGGTTATGTATTTCGCCGCCAATATGCCAAAGGCGACTTCGGCTCGAGAATACTCCTTCTCAACAAGTACCAGCACATAGTTGCTGCACTGTCAGTCTAAAACCAATATGGATAGTACAACCACAAACGGTAACAACGTAAATATCAGTCCCTCTGCCACGCGTAATAATGGCAGAGTCAAACCGCGATCGATCAACGTAGCTTTCTACAACGCGAACGGGCTCAAAGAACAACGCGACGAATTACGTATTTTTCTGCGCGATCACCAAATCGACGTATTATTAATTCAGGGAACGTTCCTGAAACCCGCGAGTGGGGGATCCGCACATCCCCAAGTATCGGATAGTTAGAAACGACCGTGCCGGCGCCCCGGGCGTCGGCACACTAATTTACTATAAAAAATCCCTCCACTGCGTACCGGTAGATACGCCCGCGCTCACGCATCTCGAGGCCTCCGTCTGTCAGCTGGCGCTAACCGGCCACTCTCCTATCACCCTAGCATCAGTATACCTCCCTTGCAGACCAACTGCAACCATTTTGCAATCCGATTTCGAGGCCCTCTTCTCTATACGAGGAGCCACCATCCTAGCTGGCGACTTCAACAGAAAGCACACCCGATGGAACTCGACACATACCAACAGTCGAGGCACCGCACTCGACTCGCTATCAGACAGGCTCGACTTCGAAATCGTAGCCCCTGTCGAACATACGCACTTTCCCTACATAGAGGGACACACATCGGATGTGCTTGATTTTGTAGTCATCAAAAACATCAATCTAACCATGCGCGAACCGGAAGTGATACATGAGCTTCACTCTGATCACCGACCAGTTCTTCTTTGGCTAGGGCCCTCAGCAATAGCCGCACCACAAACCAAGACAGTCATTAGTTGGCACAAAGTTAAAACTGGATTTAACGAGCCCAATCCTCCGCTATTACAATCAATTCCCGACCAACTCAATAACAAACAGGACACAGAGACCGCAATTCAAGCCCTCACGAGCCACGTCAACACCGTCGTCGAGCAATGCTCGAAACAGGTCCCAGCGATGGATGACCATCGCTGGGCCCTGCCAGACGATGTGCGCGACTTACTGAGACGCAAGAATGCGGCCACACGTGCCTATGATAGATATCCCACCGACTCGAATCGTAGACTGCTACGCAAATTGCAGCGTGAGGTCAAAACACGCATAGCGGACTCACGAAACGAACTGTGGGACTCCACCTTAGCTTCAATAAAACCGTCCCACCAAGCCTTTTGGAAACTTCCCAAATCCCTCAAGGGTACTACCATCACAAATATGCCACCTTTAGTCCGCCTGATAGGACCGCCAGCAATGCTGGACGAAGAGAAAGCCGAATGCCTAGCTGACAGCCTAGAGTCCCAATGCTCCCCTAGTTTGCTTCCGGTCAGCCCCGAACACCTCCGTAAGGTGGACGAAGAGGTTGAAAGGAAAGCATTAGAGCCACTTCGCGATCCCGTTCTCCCGGTCACGTGCTCAGAACTAGCAGAAACAATAAAAAACCTACGCCGACGCAAAGCGCCTGGCTCAGATGGTATCACCAATAAGGTGACCAAACTCCTCCCTACTAGCATCCTTCAGATACTAGTATTAATTTACAACGCGGCTTTAACCGAAGGCTTCTTCCCATCCGCATGGAAGGAAGCTGACGTCATAGGGTTCCTCAAAACCTCCAAACCAGCTACTCTCCCATCCTCATATCGTCCAATAAGTCTTCTCAAAACGTTTGGGGAGATCTTTGAAAGACTATTATTAGCCCGCCTAAAATCCCTTATGGACACCAAAGGCCTCCCCATCCCAGAGCAGTTTGGATTTAGACCCAAACACTCGTGTACCCATCAAGTGCACCGCATCACGGAGCACATTCTAGCCAAACGCCAACGCGGGCTCAACACCGGTGCACTCTTCCTGGACGTGGCCAAAGCGTTCGACATAGTTTGGCACAACGGGCTCATATACAAGTTATACGGGCTCGGTGTGCCCGACCGTCTCGTATGCATAATACGAGACTTCTTAAGTAATCGAACCTTTCGGTATCGCGTCGAGGGCGTGTGTTCGACTACGCATCCCGTTCGAGCCGGGGTGCCCCAAGGGTCGGTGTTGGGCCCAGTCCTGTTCACACTCTACACCAACGACATGCCGCGTGTCAAGGATGTAGAATTTGCCCTATTTGCCGACGACACCTATCTTTATACCACAGGCAGAACACCCAAAATAATCCATCGACGCCTCCAAGCCGCAGCCATCACCATCGGTGACTGGTTTCAGCAATGGAGGATCGAAATCAATCCCGCCAAGAGCGCGGCCGTCCTTTTTTCACATAAAAACGTAACCAAACCACCCCCCGTTAAGCTCATGGATAGTCCGGTACCATGGGTGAACAAAGTCAGATATTTAGGTGTCGTCCTCGACTTCCAATTAAAATTCAGCCAGCACGTGACTCGGGTCAAGAACCGGGCGGCCTTCGTACTCGGCCGCCTCCATCCGCTCCTCAACAAAACGTCAAAAATGTCCCTTCGGAACAAGGTGACCTTATACAAGGCAGTAGTTCGCCCTATTATGACGTACGCGAGTCCGGTTTTCGCTCACATTGCTCCGAAGCAAATACAACGGCTTCAGGTCATCCAAAATCGATTCTTGCGCAGAGCCACGGGAGCACCCTGGTTTATGCGCAACATCGACCTACATGTCGATTTAGAGCTGCCCACCATCGCTCAATTCCTGAAGTTGGCGTCGCGCCGATATTTCGATTCCTCCGCCGCGCATCCCAACCCGCTAATCGTAGGTGCCGCCACCTACAGACCCATGCCGCTAGGTAAATTCCGCCGCAATCACCGTAGACCGCGACACGTTCTCGACTTCCCTGATGATGAGACGACTATCGTCATCGAAAGGATTAAACAACTACGCAAGCACACCAATACACACCGCACTCGCCGGCGAGTGCGGCAAACGTATACTAGGTTCCGCCACGTACCTGGCCTGGTTCTCCCCTATTAATGATAGAAGCGTTGCTGGAGTTTCTTCCGCCACTTCTTCTCCCAGCGCCAACGCTTTACGAAGTGGTAGTAAAGATATCTCTAGAGATCCCCCCAGTCAGTTAACAGCTACCGATCGAGCCGAGGTCCGGCTTTCTCGGGCACCCTCGAATCGGAATGCTAAACGCGTGCTGAGTGACAGCCCAAGCTGAGGTCCCCTCTCGGGGACCCTTGAGCCTGATCACTCCATGGAGCGTCCGCCAAAGCGCCCTAAGAGCTTGGCGGCCTCCCAAACCGGTGAAAACTAATAGCGTGACGGCCTGAGCCGAGGTTCCTTCGGGAGCCCTCGAGCTTAGTCACCATAACGCGTAATAATAAATACGCGAGGTTCAGGCTAGGCGCCTCGAGCGCCCGGCCCCCTCAAGTCCGTCGGATCTGTAAAGGCCCCTAAGGCCAACAGTGGCTCATCCAGCCCAAAAAAAAAAAATATTTGATATTGGACAATCACAAAAAAAGCGGAGCTTAATCTATTCGCAAGAGATGATAGGTGCTAAATTTCGCTCAACCTTATTAATAATCGAACCTAAAAATCAGCGATCATTATCGTCAGCAAACAGTGCAATATCACATAACATACTGGCATAAATATCTTTCGAATTATATTACCAAGGTAAGATAATATGAGCTTGTGGGCGATGCCACGAATGCCATAACAATCTACCTTTGGCTTTTGTAAGGTCGCAAAAGACACCTATTGCATTTTATGACCCTTCCCAGGCATTATTAATATGTTTGACAAGTGTGACACCCGCATCTATTTTCGATATGCATTAAGTAAATCGATATTGCTCATCATGAAAAATTTTATTTGTATTAAAATATACCAAAGTTGATTTCATAATAATTTTTCAAAAATTTAAATTAGTGATGGCAATACGGAAATAGATCTATAGTCGCCATTTTTATCCCCACTTTGAGGACAGATCTAGAAATATTCCAGTATCTGTACAGTTAGTCAAAATATAAGCCAAATGTGGCGTAATACATGGCATTATTGTGGTCATTTATTTTATGGACATGCCCCATAAATCCCCTGTATTGTTAAGATTAATATAATTTCTACCTTTTATAATGTCTTTAGTACCTACGTGGTTAAATTTAAATATGTGATGAATTGTCAATACCTATTGAGGTAACATTATATTTTAATACATTTATTGCGTATATGGGAAAGGATATTTATTGCGTATATGGGAAAGGATATTTATTGCGTATATGGGAAAGGATATTAATTACATGTGACATTGACTGCAATTTCTGAAAATTTATTTTCAAGACTATTTGCAATTTCATTATCTGAAGCTATGGGAGTATTACCTATCACCAGTTTTATAGGCTCCCTGTATGTCTTGAGTTTTCCAGATACGGTTAAATATGTATTGCTTGGATTTAAAATTCTGTTTTTTATATAATTAATTTTACCTGAATACAGATTTTATAAAAAACCGTTTGTACCCGTTTATGGAAAATTGAGTATGATTCCACTCTCTCAAAGTTCATACATAACAAGCTGTCTCCTGCCTGCGTTCACTGTCTCACGCTGGTTCATACCATCTTCTTTAGGTAAAAAAAAATAGGTTCCTGATAATTAATAACCGATATTTCATACACTAAAACCTTCTCGGAAACACGCTGCATCTTATGGTAAAAGTATTATTCCGATCTATTCAGTAGATTTTGCAGTATAACTGAACTAATAAACCGGCTCTCTGTTTATTATGCAGGTTCGTGCAGGAAATCCCTACTTTTATATATACCCAATGTTGCCAAGTCAGAAAATTTTAATTTAAACACATATGCGTGATTTAAAAGTATCTTTATAAAAATATATGAGAAAATAAACCATTGTTGATATATAAGAATCATTAGGGTTATTCAGCCTTATATATTTATGGAACATATGCTGTTCCACTTTATGCCTTAAAGAATTTATTGTATTAGTAGTGACTGGTGTATATGGTGTAATATGTTCAAAAATGTGCTTGGAACGGGAGGGTGCTATAGCGAATAAGAGGAGCGAATCGATTGAAAAAAACTTCTCAAACGGTGGTACTGCCGCTGATGCCAATTTTGAACGGCTGTAGACCTGATTTCCTCCCTTTCTGTGACACGGGTAAAGTCCGACTGGCTTATGATGGTCGAACTTGCTTGTTGGAGAGTCCAAGCAAGTCTCTTGGAAGCAGAAATTTCTGATCTAAACAAGATTATATTTGAAACTCGTTATTTTTGAAACATTAAAATGTAAAACATTTCGTTACAAACTATCTATGTTCGGTTAGAACTTTAAATACAATAAAAATATTATGATGGTATCTATAAAAAACTGCATAATTAACGTAAATTTGTAAATACTTTCATGCTTATTAATAATCTGAAAATTGTTCTATGACATACCTCTCCATGCGCGACAGATTCTCCGGGAATAAATAGTTCAGGGTATATATTCTTCAAATACCATTCGAATGACTTGCATTCGAGACTCTTCCTAAGCTGTTTCCTGCTAGTAATATCACCATAGTCACCTTTGTCATCACCCACTCTTTGATAATAATACTTAGCATAGTCATCTAACCAAACCTGAAACAGTTCAATTGTTATTACCAATTTTTAGATCACACTAATATTCCGTGACGTATAAATTGTACACTGAAGAATTGCAATACCTCTGCTAAACGGACTGAATTCTTTTTCAATACATTTACACCGGTCCCCCAGTTGTAAGGTGTACGTTTCCTAAATATGTGGCCTACGTGGGAGCATGGAACTATTTCCAGAGTTCCGCCGCACATCCACGTTTTGAAGGATAATTCCAGATTCTCCCCACCCCATATGTCAAAACCATTATCATAAGTGCCGAGCAATTCAAAAAATTCCTTGTCGATAGCAAAGAGACCACCAGCCATTGTTGGAGACCACAAGGGCTCTGCTGTATGTTGATGTCTCGCTCTTTCCCTCGGTGGTACTGGATGCCAACTGAACTGGAGATCCCAGTTAAAACCACCGACATTGACAGAAGATAAGTCCCTATATTCGTATTCGAAAGTGTTATCATCAATGATATCAATAACAGGACACACAACTGTGGTTTTATTTCGTGCTATTCTATCTAGCAAAGGCTCCAACCATCCTGTAAAGGAAAACTAGAATAAAAATTACATAACCAAAAATATTGCGATCAAAAATATAAATGTTTACCAATTTTTGCTGGGCTTTCCAACTTCAAAGTTTAAAATAGCTATTCGTATTTTAGCTTAAAGCGTGAATTTTCTAAAGTTAATTGGAAGTTTGCGTTGAAACACAAGTTATAAAAAAATTGATGGCCACCAATAATAACTCGTGTTGCATAATTCCTATTTTTGCTGCGCCGCGGGTCGTGATTTGATTTGGTGTTTGTCTATGTGCAATTGACGTATGACTTACAAAGGCATAGTCCTCAAACACAGGATAATTTTATGCTACACTATAGGCAACGTTAAAAAAACAAAAATAATTGGCAAACAGCAGATAAACAGCAGATAATTATATCCGTCGATACTTAATTACCTTCCTTACCTTCACTACACTCGCAGTGACTGTCCAGATAAGTTAAGACGGGAGCTGTTCCGTGTCGAGCACCCAAAAGCCTGGCCCTAATAAGGCCCTCACGACGTGTCGCTCGAACTATTCTTACTTTTGGCAGTGATGACATGTAGTCATTTAATCTTTTCATCAGATGTGCTGCAAAAGTTGCAAAATTATTATAAAATTTATCATCAAATATAATAAAATATGAAAATTGTAACAGACAAATAAAAACTTCAAAAATCGAATCTAAAATCTCTTAATATGCTTAGTTTTACAAATTTGACTAGTTTTATACTACAGATATGTTGTTAGCGCGCTCAGGGTAAAGCCACGCAATCATCCCAATTGGGAAGTTTTCGTGGCTAATAAAGATAAACAAATAAGTTTAATGCGGGGATGAGAAAAACTGATGCTAAAGTGATAATAACTTGCTGTCCTCTTTTTTCTTATTACTTTAATTCCGCTGTACATATAAATATGTAGGTACCATTGTGAAACAATTGCGCATGTCCATACTGCACGGCTTTTAAAAATTGTTCGGCATTTATAATTATGATATATTTAAGTGAATGTGGCAGATGACATAGAACGTATGATATGGAAAGACACTTTATTGACACTTGCAAATGTGTTTTAATCTTCTAAAACTATCAGGAATAATCTTTAATTCAAAAGCATTTTACCATCCAAGTTTATCAACTTACGCATGTCAGAAAAATCATCAACAAGAATGATCTCCTTTATTAAATGAGCTGGCGATCTGTCTAAAACTGAATGTACAGTTCTAAGTAGCACCGACCATGCCTCGTTGTGGAAACATATCACCACAGAAGTTTGCGGAAGATCTTTCAAATAACGGCCCGGCTTTTTGCACCTAAGAATTTATATTAAAAATCTTTTTTATTAAAGATCATTGTAATTCTATGTGACACTATTTGTAATGAATACATTGTTAAAAACCTTTTGTTCCTACGAATGAGTACGATGGTTAAGTGATGAGTTATAAATGTATATATATAGTACCCGGAGGACAAAAAACAAAACAAACCATGTCTTTTTTTTTTGGTAAATAGTGTGAGTGTAGTTTGTTACATTTAGATACAAATTACTGAGTAATGAAATATGCGTAATATTTTTCGATCTTACCGACGTAATAATAAGAAAATATGAAGTGGTGTTTTTCACAAAAGAAACAACTTTAAAAAAAAAGGGAAAAAGTAACAAAATAACAAATCGACAAAAAAAATAAAAATAAAGAAAGCAATGATCTGGAATCGAAAAAAAAGTAAAAAAAAAAGAGTGTGTAAATGATCGTGATACGAACCACGGCCGTCTGTTTTGGGGCCGCCCGATTACCGATACTACCGAGCTATTATCACATTTTCTTTTGCGGCGAAATTTACCGTCATATTCAAATGATATTTTTCATTCCCTGAAAACAGGGATAAAAGGATATTTTCTAAAAATGAAACCTAGCTAGATCGATTTTTCGTCCCCGAATCTACGCACAAACTAAATTTCATGAAAATCGCTGGAGCCGTTTCCGAGATTCCGATTATATATATACAAGAATTGCTCGTTTAAAGGATAGAAGAAATATATATATATATATATATATATATATATATATATATATTTCTTCTAAAAACATTAACGTTCAAAAAATCCATAATTAAAAAAAATATTTCTCAAACAAACTAATTAAGTAAAAAACAAACAAAATTTGTAACATCCTTTACAACTACAACTGACTGATTCATACATTCTGAGACTTTTTCATTCGTTGCCACAGCGTCGCATTACAAGCCTCTCTTTCTAACAGTATGTTTTGTCTCTTTCAAAGTCATTCAACCCATTCATATGCTTTGTGACCTTTACAAATGAACTTTATGTTACAGTTTTATACGTAAGGTTGTTCTAAAATTCGTTGTTTTAGAAAATTTTATAACTCGGTAAATATTGATGTTTAAAGTTAGGTAAGTTTAAGGTTAGGTATGTAAATGTTTAATACAATTTTAAAAATTTATCCTCTATATGTGTGTCTAAGAGAAAGTCTATCTAAATCTTGTTGAAGTAGAGCAGAATCATGACAGGTGTCTATATAACGGAATAATTTCAAACCATCTGCAAATAAATAAAAGTTGCGAGATAATTAAAATTTGACTTATGTCATTGATTTGAAAATGTTAAACAGAACAGAAATTTGATAAAGTTTATCAAATGCTTTGCTGAAGTCAGTACACATCACGTCACTGTGTTTGCGAAAATCTACAGCAGAAGCTATTGCATTGAAAAGGATACTAAATTTGTTGAAGTAGACCTGTTTTTATAGAATCCTTTCTGATATGGAGAAATAATTTGCTTGAAGTGAAAATTTACGACTAGATAAACAATTTTTTCAAAAATGCTTGCTAATGTGGCTAGAATAGAAATTTGCCTATAGTTGTTAACATATGTAGCATTTCCTGATTTTCGGATAGAAACAATTAGAGACGTTTTCCACAATGAAAGAAAAGAACCGGTACTGCTTGATTTATTAAAGATTAATGACATAGTATGTGTTAACGCCGTTGTGCACTTGGTTGCAAATATTCATGTGTTACAAATATTAAGTCCATTTGTGGCTGTGAATTCATTTAGTCATTTTTTCCGGATATTTGCTTCTGTTTTTATTAAAAAATAATGCAATGATACAAATAGACGAAGAATGATTGAAAGGGATTAAACTCACCACTCGTCCCTGCGATCGGGCAGCTTCCTCCTTATAGAGATCAGGTCGCTGACGTACTGGTTGAACGCGTTCTTCTTCCACCCCTCGGAGATGGCGAGTTTCGCGTCCTCGCTGATGTTCTTGGGAACAACGACCGGTCGGCCGAGTTCACCGGGCGAGTTGTCCGACCCTGGGGCGGCAATCACGGCCAGTCCTACAGGATGTGATCGATTAGTGTCGATCGAAAGACGATGTCCCTTCGAGACGCCGTGAGACCGGAACCCGGAGACAGGTTTGACAAGCTTGTTTATCTACTTAAAACTTCGTACACACTTAAATATCAGTTGCACCTGCTTATGGCATTCGCTATCAATCACGTATCAAAAAAAAATAGGTAATTGTTAAAAACGGTGCCAAATAAAACAGTGAGAGTTAATCGAGATAACAACATCTCAAATGGCATATGCATTTAAAAATTAGCCTTTTGAAATCATCCTCCATTTCTATTACTCAAAATTCTTAAATAAGTGTGATGTTAATTATTTTTTTTATGTGAGTAAGTGGCAAACGACCTGTCGGTTCACCTGATGTTAAGTCATAATGGCTGCCCATGGATTTTTGCAACCCCCGTAGGGTTGCAAATGCGCTACCGCCTTTATATAAAGTGGGCCCCGGCTAACTCAGTCTTCAGACGAAACGCAGAAGTTTAACATTTCTTCTTTACTCCGGTCTTCAGTGAGGTCGTGGTACTTACCCGGAAGGACCTAAAACAATAATTCTAGAAAAGTACTTTTAAATAGTTCTTGCAATGCTTTAATACCGATTTTAATTTTAAATTATTTTTGGAATTTATACAAAAGTGTATACACGTACATTAGAAATTATTATTATAGGTAAACAAATTTTACATTATAATATATATATGGTATAATTTATGATACTACTTGTGTTAATTACCGTCTAGCTTCATTGAATATCATTTAAATGCATAATTTAAAGACATATGACACATGTACACGTGAAATTAATGTATGTAAAACATCTTTACAACACAGGATAATGTTATCATACAAGAAGAGCATTGTTTTAGCAGAAAAAAAACCGCATCCGCGCTGTTACGAATAAACGAATTGTGTAATGCATGATCAAAAAAAGATCTCCTAAGTCACAGTAAATAACCAATACAATACATTTAGGAGCGTCGAAACATCGCTGTAAGGCAAAAAAGGGGAAACTGCGTTCGATAATCAAATAAAATAATCATAGTTTAAAAAATAAATTATTCGATTTACCTGTAACGTCTTTTCTTATTAGAACTTCTATTGCTCTAGCCGTTCAGGCGACAACCATTGCAATTTCCTACCCGAAAGGAATGTAGATAATTCCAGATATGGGCAGGCTTATGACTTATTAAGCTTGCAAGAATGACGTGAGCAAATGATGGATACGACGAGAGAATGTCATGAGGCAATAATACCTCTGTACATCGTCTAAAAATTTTAATAGGTTTGAAAATTAAACATTAAGCCAAGTTAATAAATCAGTTATGCCTACTCGAATATGCGCATGCTGCTCGTACTCAAAAACATCTTACCATTCGTCTGATTGTTTCCATACGATTCGCTTTTCTTCTTCTGGAAGGATGAAGTATCTTCATAGTCCATTGGCGAAGCGACTATAGAGTTCCTTGCACCGCCGCTAGTCGGCAACAAATGTACCATTAACCACAACGCCGCCAGTATTAGCATCGTTTTCAATATCAACGTACGGCGCCTCAGAAAGGATATGATGTAATATTTCATCTTTGCTTTTGTCTATCTTCTTTCTATCGTTAATTTTTTACTCACAGTTACATCAGAGTTCGTCGATCGTTATACTATTAAAAATTCTCTTCCTATCTAATACTTAACTACTTTATAAAGGAATTAAGCAATGATGTTTATTATTACAATCACAAACATTGACTAGTATTCAGCACTAAGATATGTAATCCAATGTTGTCAGATTGTTTTCACAACTACGCTGAGATATGCTCTCTCGATATGACAGTTTCAGTGTTTTCCACCTTCCTCTTAAGAAGTTCCCTATACATTATATTCATTTCTTCTTACTTCTTTGATTCATCTCTGCTTTTACCACGCCCCCGCAAAGCAAAACTCCATTTTCTTCAACTGGAAAACTGTAAAAAACGTAAGTACACCAGAGAAATTGCAAATGTGCAAAAATTGAAAAGATTTTACACGGATTCGTAAGTAGAGTATGTAAATTCTATTAAATTAAATAGTGTTAACAGATGTGCTAAGTCACTGTCCGATCGCCCGCTTTTAATTCAATATACTTAAGCAACCAACAACACTCTAACAGATGACACCTTTGCCCAGCGGTGGGACATAAATATATAGGCTGTTACTTTATTCTCTCCGGGTAAGTAGCACTTTTGCGTTTGGTCTGGTGAGTGAGGTTGTCAGGGCCCACTTTATTAAAAGGTACTTTAAAACATCATGTCAAGCATTTAAAAAAGAATAGTTACACTGTGTTAAGGGCAAAGTCCGTCCGGGTAAGTACCACGACCTCACCGAAGACCGGCGTGTAATGCAAGTGTTACACTTACGTTATGTATACATTACGTATACATTGGGTCTGGTGAGTGAGGTAGCTATGGCTTACTTTATTAAAACGTGGTAAGGCATCTGTAACCCTACAGGTGTTGCAAATATCCGTGGGCAGCGGTTACCACTTAACACCGCTTGCTGGCTTGCTATCTTCTCACATAAAAAAAATTGATTATTAAAACAGTCGCAACATAATAAAATGTTTGTAGCTTGCAATATATTTTTTAACTTGAGTAATTTACTTTAAGCAAGACTTTATCAACATAAGTTCTTCATAAAGTCTTGCCACGAACTTAAGGTGAACTTAAATGTGAGTTTGCCTAATAGATAAGTTTCGAAATTATTTTTTCGCGCCGTGCGGACACGTATCTGTCGCTTAGTTCTGTTGGCTAGGAGCCATTGCGAGCGATACTCATTTTCACTCTGTATTACTTGTCAAATAGGTTTTACGTGAGCCATTATTCAATAATAACTATATCCAAAAACGAGCACAATCCAATCTTGTAAGAGGTTATCGCTCACTCAAAATTACACTTTCCATCGTCGGTTCTGTATAGTGAGTGTCGCCGAAGCATCATCTAGTTTGGAACTTAATCTTTTCTGCCCGATCGCTTCTTCCGCAATTTATGATGCGTTCCCGTGCGAACTGATATTGCTGAAACCACTCACGTTCTTTCAGTGCGGTCTCGATACAACCAGGTGAACACTGAAAATGCCGTATAACAGCTCTAAAATGCTGTCAGTACTAAACTTGAAACTTGAATCAATGTAAATTACTTAAATAAATTTCGTTGTAAAAATTCTTACACGGTTAATTATATTCTTGAAACAAGAGGCAAGCCAAAATGTCGACGGCAAGCCTTCGTCGCCGACAAATTAAATTAATTACAAGTAATAACAATTGTATCACTAAAATAAAGTGCAAAGTGAATAAAATAACTATAAACGAGTTATGTGCAGAGACACAGCGCAATAATTGCACACTTTTGCGTCTGAGGTGTTAATGAAATAATTTGAGATTTAGCAATACATAAATCAATAAATAAATCTTTCATTAATTAACTACGAAATTTGCAAATCATGTTTTTTTTTTATCTTCTGTTGAACTCATTTACTCCTACCATTTAATTCTCTGCATCACAATCATTTGCACTTACAAAGATTTCATCGAGTGTCAACATGTTAGTTTTATGAGGAAACTTGAGAAGTTTCCTAATAAAACTAATCTTCCTAATAAGACTATCGAGTGCACTTTTATGAACTCAATTAAAAAAATGTTAAGTTAATGTTCAACTTTATTCATAATATCATACGGTATTATGCTATAGAGGCGTGTAAACAATATGGAAACAATATTTGTTTTGCGAAATAGATGATAGCTACTAAGCTGTTTCCTGTTTCTAAAAAAAAACTTATGATACAGTACGTATATCAATGTAATCGTTTGAGGATAAAAAATGACGATAAAGAGGACACCTACCTTCTTTCGCCTGCTTCTCCTCCATTAGAGGAACCTCACAACAAAACGGCGGTAGATTTAAAAAAATGACTCGATAGATGAAATATACACTTCTTACTTGGATGAATAAATGATTTGATTTGATTTATTGCATATAATGAAATAAAATTTAAATAAATGAATTAAGGAAATAAATATACTTTATTGCACACTAAAGCAAAAATAGATAAAAATTAAAAACTTAGTAGTTATGAGTACAATGTATCCGCTGCATTTATTGCTAAAAGTAATTTCTTCCGGGCAACTTTGAATTAGAAACCATCACTATATTGTAATGAATAGAAACTCTTTACTTGGTTCAAATAGAATTGTGTGCAAAAGCAGAGAATCAATCAACTGCGGTTCAGAATTAAAATTCTTACAATACTTATTACATCTGATATTATATTCGCGGAAATCTAGGGCTAAAACACCCAAGGAAAATTCATAAGCACAATATATTCTTACAGTAAAATTAAAGAAAACAAATACTCGAATAAACATGCGGCATAAATAATTAGAAATTATACTGAACTCCATTACGTAACTCGTGAAATGAATTAATAGCCCTACAGTTATGAAGTATATCCTTTTGTACCTTCGAAGGAGTCTTTAATCGAAAGATTGGCATCGGGCCGATTACAGATCTGATTGAATGAAAACTATTTTCTCGAGGACTAATATCATTAGATCCTTACCCTCGAAGAGTTACTACTCAATTGAAATATTTATTTATACATGTATTGTCAAACTCAGATGACCAAATCATTATGATTAAAGAATGAATTTAGAAGTTGAATAAAAATATAATAAATGCTGCCCACACCTCATAGAGTTATTAGTTTTATGTGTCTACGTATTTTATTTCTCGTTATTTTAATGTCAACTTTCGAAACTAATCATATAATTGCGATTATTAGCTGAAACATATTGCGACAAGAACTGTTCTTTGTACACTGTACCACAGTGAACGCAAATAAAATGTTTTATTTTCACAGGTGTATCATTAATCCTAGAATAATTGTAACAACTGTAACAACTGATTTATTATACAGTTTAAGTGAACAGTTTAATTATATGGCAATGGTGTCTATATGATATAAATGTGCGTAAATAATTTTATTACTTAGGGTAATATATTATTCTAGTACTACTTACAATTAGGGTAATATATTATTCTGAGATATAAATAAGTTTAAACATAATTATTGTTCTTTTTTTACAAAGTATTCGACGCTTTCTAACGCTACCCTCTATTAAAAGTTGGGTTATAAAATTGGAACATACGCATCTTTCAAATGGGAGGAGAGTGTACGTAAATCGAAAAATAACAATGCACATTGTAAGCCTGAATACATGAACCAAACAAACTTTTTATTAACTTGAAGGACAGTTTACTACAATACAATATACTAGCTACTACTTACTACATTTTAGCGATTGAAAAACATTGTTCTTTTTATTTACTCAAGAAGCAATTTGTTAAGAAACTCATCGAAAATATTATTGCAAATTAATTCCAGTTGATTTTCAGCGAGACGTAAGGAAGAACAAGGTTCAAGACACAAGGCCGCCGATAAAAGTATGTCCCTTCGAAAGAAATAACAACCGAGAAAATGCGAGGTAAATACGATTTTATATTTCACTGTTTAGATTATAGAAGACAATCATCAAAAAGTAAAAAATGTACTGGCATCGTAAGATAACTCTGAAATGGACGGTAGACGGAGTAGACTTTTACAACCATTTTTCTGGCTCGAATGCCCATGTGCGACGGTGATCACTTGCCATGAGCATAACAAAAAACATAGACGAAACGATTTTAGAGCTTATTTGCATATCTTGCCTGTCACTTCGACATAACCTAGTAAGCAGTAGTAAAAATCTTTCATAAGCTTATTTCATCTCAGTGAACGCGAAATATCCCTGGCAACTGCGTGTGCACGGAAAGTTTTGCATTTTAATTCATTCAGACAAGTAAGTAATGCATAAACTGAATAAACCTCATTGTATATGTATGTATCCTCATGTAATAGGAGATAAGTTTTCACATCTCCATTAATAAAGGAATACAGCGAGTTAAGACCACTTTTAGTCAGTAATAATGTACTCAAAGGTCATTCTCCTTTATAGGGTTCCATAAATATGGTACAGGGATTTTGACACCAAGAATATAAACAATTCCATCTTCATGGTGAGTCATTTCAATCATGATTTCAAACTTGAAATAATTTATTAAAGTCACAAAACTGTCTGAGGTATGCTTATGTTTTCCTTTTTTTACATGACTACGATTGGGTACGTACCAAAAGTGTGGTACGTTTAACGTACTTTTTGTGATACTTGACTGAATCAAAAGTACTTTCAATAATCGGAAGACAGTACGAAGAAGACCGCGTTCGTAGTAGATAGACGCTCCAATACTTGTGAGTGCCAATTATCGTAATTAGATCGAAAATTTATTACATATCGTCTCTAAGACCGACCTTACAATTGGCAATTGCAATTTAATTGGCGCTGAACTTGTTTAGTATTCGTTTTACACATGCCATTCATTGCAGCCTAATTTCTGATACGCATACTGCTTATACTTTACATGCGAAATTGCAATATGTAAATTTATTTATTTAATTTCTTG